TAATGCCATAGCTGATGGTCTAGCTAAGCAAGGAGTCCAAAGGCAATCTATGTTCTGGGCTATGTTGTAGCTAGTGGGATACCCCTTGGGTCCTTTCGGAGCTTGTTTGTAACTAATGAATTTCTTTGTTGGGTTAAGCTTGGGTCTGTATTGTAATTTGTAATTAGTGGGGTTTAGGTGGACTTTATGTCTACCCGCAACTTCTTGTTGTACACATTCTGATAATCTAATGAATCTTTTTGTGTTGCTGATCAACAAAAAAAACATTTCACCATGTAGAGATATTTCGCTAATTTCGCAAGATATTAGGAAAATCTAAAAGATAAAGAAAGCTTTCTAGAAACATTAAATTAGTTAATAAACCTTCAAGGCATCATTAGAAGAAATATAATTGCATATTTAAGGCTCAAAAAACCATAACAAAGAACTATATAAATCAAATAGGAAAAAATTAAGCAATTGTAATAGGTAAGTTTCTCTTTGTCTCCCTTTTGGTCTTTAGTTATCTTCTTTTCTTTATATATGTCAATTGTCTTTATTGTTACTATATATTTTGATTAGATTGAGAATACTCTTTTGTAGTTATACCCATTAATCCATTTTTCGTTTCCTTTTGAATTATAGTGACTTAGTAAGTGAATCATATCAAAGTAGTAAGCCAATTATCCAATCACTAGTTCCTTGTTGGTTCTTTTAGGAAAATATTTAAAAAAAAAAAAATTATGATAGTTTTAATGAAATATTGAAAAGTCTTTAGTAATATTCAAAAAATTTTTAAACTTTAAATATATAGTATATCAATAAAATCTGAAATATCTTCGATATATTGGAAAAATATCAGAGGTAATTGGGAAAAAAAAGATTCCCAGAAGATTTCGTACTGCCCCTTAGCAAATGGGGATAATCAGAAATATTTTGCCAAATATCGTCGATATTGCAAACCATGGGTGAGACCCAAATGGCTTTTATGAAAGGTATGAAGATTTTGGATAGGGTAATAGTGGCTAGTGAATGTATTGATTCAAGATTAAGGAATGGAAGAGCAGGATTGGTTTTTAAGATTGATATAGATAAAGCTTATGACAATGCAGAGTATGGATTTTTGGAAGAGATAGAAAGGTTAAGGGGTTTTGGGGAGAAGTAGAGAAGCTGGATGTTTGACTGTGTCTTCGATATCATTTTCAATCCTCATAAATGGAGTTTTTTCAGACTTCTATAGGCCTAAGGCAAGGGGATCCAAATCTCTCCCTTGCTCTTTGTGTTACTTATGGAGGTACTAAATCTGTTATTGGAGGAATGTGTGCAGCTGGGTCTGATTGAAAGTTTAAAGTGGGGTCAAGTGGACCTTGTATTTCACATCTGCAATATGCAGATGATACCCTAATTTTTCTGGATGCTTCAGTGGAACAAGTTCTGAATCTGAGAAAAATCTTAGCAAATTTTGAAATGTTAACAGGGCTGAAAGTTAATCCCTCCAAGGGTGTTTTGATAGGAGTGGGGAAGGTAAGGAGGGAGGCGTTATTGGAGAGCATTAGGGCTTTTGATTGCAGGATTGGGGAGCTCCCTTTCTCTTATTTGGGGTTGTGGGCAGTTCAACTTCAAGTGCAATTTGGAAGCCAATTGTAGAAATAATTTAAAGAAGACTGGATGATTGGAAAGCAAAATATCTTTCCTTTGGGGGAGGATAACACTTATTAGAAGTGATTTTTCAAGTTCGCCAACATATTACTTATCCTTCCTAAGAGTGTCATCACAAGTTGCATAGAAAGTGGAGAAAAATCAAAGGGACATTTTATGGGAAGGAGTGGGAGCCAAGAAGTTTCACTTGGTCAAGTGCGAAAAAGTTTGTAGGCCAGAGGAATGAGGGATTTAGGGTTTAGAAGGGTGAGGATTTTCGACAAGGCATTGATTGGAAAGTGGCCGTGGAGATTTGAGTTGGGGAGAGAGGAAAACTCATTATGGAGGAGGGTTGTTGTGGGGTTGGGGGTGAGAAGATGGGTTAGGGAGGTCTGCAAATGGATTGGCTAAGCAAGGAACTCATAGGCAGCACTTGTTTTGAGCTCAATGTTAACTGTATGGGGGGATCTTTGCTGTAAAGGGTCTTTGACCTAACAACTTCTTGTTGTACCTTTTTGTTCTTTAATCTGAATAAGATTTTCTTGAGTTGCTGATCAAAAAAAAAACCTATGGGGTGGTAAGGTTTGGGCAGGATTCAAAGGAGGTGAATTCTTCCTACAGGGTAAGTGTTTGGAAAGGGATAAGGAATTTTAATCAGGAGTTTAGAAGTCTAACCAGCTTCTCAGTAGGGATGGAGCAAGAATCAGGTTTTGGGAAGATGACTGGTGTGGGGTTGGAAAGCTATGTGATTTATATCCAAGGTTGTGTATAGGTTGGCTGAGGCTGATGTGACCATTCTAAACTGATGAGAGGAGAGGGGAACAATTAGTTTGGTATCTAAGGTTCAGAAGGCCATTACTTGATAGGGAAATTGAAGAGTGCATCATTGCACTTTTGGAAAAACTGAAAAGGTTGAAAGTTTCAGCTCATTCAAGGGATGAACTATGGTGGAAGGAGTGCTCAAATGGGATATAATTTGTGAAATCTTGTTACTTAGCCCTCCTTAGGAACCAATTAGGCTCAAACCAGTGGGGCAACCCAGCTCCTCCTAGGGTAGAAGCTTTTGCATGGCTTGTTGCTATGGGTAGTGTCTTGACTGTGGATCATTTGAAGAATAGAGGATTTAACATGGCTAGTATGTGTTTCCTGTGTAAAGAACAAGAGGGAACAGTTAACCACTTGTTCATATCTTGCAAAGTTTCTGGTTTCATTTGGAATCTCTTCATAACATTGTTCAGGGTAAGAAACTTTCAGCCAAGGTTTCCTTCAGAGATTTTCTCATCATGGACAAAGCTCAGAGGCAATAAGAAAGCAAGGTTGATTTGGAGCTGCATACCTTTTGCAAGCTGCTGGAACATCTGGAAGGAAAGAAACAGAAGCATGTCTGAAGATAAAGCTTGGAATTTGGATAGTCTGGTGGCAGCCATTAGCAAATCTGTCTCAGAATGGGTCGTGGTACTGCCAGAATTCAAACAAGTCAATTAAGAGGACCTTGGACACAAAAGCTTGGGGAAGTTTCAGGGTTGCAAATTTGTAATCTGGATGATATGTTTTGACTTGCATTGGTGTTTTAGTGTTGCTTGCAGGTGTTGCCTTAACACCTGATTAGATTGTAATACTTTTTCTTTCAATGAAATTTTAACATTTATTATCAAAAAATAAAAAAACTAGTATGCAGAGTATATTGCAAACACAACCATGAGGCATAGCTCCACTTAATGGAACAATCGATTATAGTTGATTCTTTGACAATGTAAGCCTTAACCAACCAAAGGAAATAAATAAATAAATGATTAGAATTAAGGTACTAGTATTGGAAGAATAAGCACGCCGCCGATGAATGATATGGATAACCTTGTCACTTAACAAGTGATCATTTCTGGATACAAGCTTTAATGTAGGTTTACAAACTAATTTAGTCATCATTGATCTTCAGTCTTCTGCAATATCTGTTTTCTTTATCTTATTTTGTTCCTGGAAGCAAGAACATACAAACTAGAGAATATCCAAGAGTTCAATTTGCTAAGGGACTCAGACTTGATAAAATGATTTATTATTTATTTAATAAAGATGGCTACTATAGGTCTGCACTAAATAAACTCTTTAACATCATCATGCCATATTTAATAAAGATGGCTAAAAATTTTTTCAACATCATAATGCCACAAGTCCCTGACAGTTTAACATAGAGTAGATGACAGGGAAACACCAAGATGGAAGCAAGTGAGATTAAGAATCTAGACTTGGGGCACAGAACTAGGTAAAGTAACCCATGAATACCTCTCTAGTCTCTTCTAAAAGACATAACTATTATCGAACAATGTTCTGATGACTTAGTTTTGACAAATAAAAAATTTAAATGCCTGATCACCGGTCTTCACTTTTTTAGAGGTTTGTCAGTTATATTACTGTTTCCTTGCTGCACTTGATTATACTGTGGGATGTTTTTGTCCCCTGCTATTATGACATAAGATAGAATGGGTTTCCAATACATTAATAAAACCCCTTTTGATCATTTTGCTGATCAAAATAACAAAAGGTAGCTAATGTAAGGATAAAACTGATTAAACAGATTAGGTTTCAAATAAACGGTTAGCATTTATCAAACTGGTGTATTAAGAGGCATCTAGCGCACATAGGCATACTTGCTAGGCTCATTTTGTGGGATGTGTCAAGCCTGAATCCAGGTGCATAACTTGTTGCAATATTTTGATTAAATAACCTTGAATTTAATGTTGACTATGTACCTTACTATATTATAGGTTGTATGGAGTTTGAACAGTTTAGCCCACGTAGAACATCAATGTACAAGGTAATAAATGACCTTAGTGTTAATAATGTATAAGACTTCTTGAAATATTTCATTTCTTTCAGAATATAGATTTGCATATCCTTGTATTTCAAGTTTTTATTTTGTTTTCTCCACAGGTGGCATTTCACGTCATTTAGTCACATGCACCATCTTACCCCTTGTGCTTCAGGCTCTAAAAACCATTTGACTTTTATCTGCGCTTCTAACTTTTAAAACACTGTTTGGAATTAAACGTTAGCACAAGAATATATCAAGAATACACAGAGACAATCTCTTTCAACTATCTTTTTGTTGTCCAAAAGCAGAAAACACAGAGACAATCTGTGTATTAAACTTGTCAAGAGCCCTAGAATCTTTTAGACTCACTAAACTAAACTGCTATTTAGAATGACTAAGATACACCTGGACTAGGTAAATGCCTATATAAAATGCCACTCTTTTTTTATTGGTTATATAATTCCACATTTAATGCATTTCCAATATGCAAAGACAGATACCTTGGCAAAAGAATAGGGTGAATTAAGCCATCTCAATACGAAGAAAGGAAACTATAAGGGAGATGCATGCCTACCTCTTTTGCCTGGCTAGTATCATCTGAAGGCATAGGAACCACACTGCCTGGTTTGGTGTTTTGAATTGGATTCTCAGAGGCATTTCCATTGTCACTGAATTTAGGAAGCTGAACCAAAAAAGAACTTCTTCCTGCAATGGCTTTCTAGATCATCAAAACTAGAGCATGTAACAGGTTTGAACAATCAAATAGTAACATAGAGATAAGACATGAATTTAACACTTGTAATAGGTCCCCACACTGCACTTAGGAATCAGATTCAAAAATGATTTTTTTTTTATTATCTGACATTAGTATTTAGAGATGAGTATACCAGAGCAAAGTCCCAAGAGTTTGCGTCTCCGTAGACTAACCATGGCTGGTTCTGGTTTTCCTATTAACAATATAAACTGGTTCAGTTGATGATCTCAACCGCCAAACAATCCATGCATGTAGCATACTGAAACAGTTACAAAGCAAGCACATGTAAAAGCTGACTAGTTCTTTACTATGTCACCCAGATATGGCAAGGACACAGCTGGACAAGTTGTTACATATGAAATTTAGACTAAAAATGGAAGTGCCCAGCACAATATGTCACCTGCAAAAAGGTACCTAGGTTTCATATGCTCTTTATAGGGTGGTACAACAGAACGCAAAAGATCAAAATGTTTATGTCCTATAAAGTAGTCAACCAACTTAAAATCATAATGGTCAGCCGCTTAGTAAAGAATTGAATGATACAATGTGTAGATTCAGATATTTCATATGCAACTAAAACAACCAATATGATTTGGAAAAGCACAAGGTTCAGGACACAATAAACACCTAACTTGAATTCCTGCCAGTTACAATATCATCTTGAAGAGTTAGAATGATAAAGAAATATGTAATTAGCCAAGTTGAAAACAAAAAGATAATCTTAGCATCAAACAAAGTTTTCATCCAGGCCGACATCTAAGTATTTCAGTTCTCTAACTAAACAAACAAATCAACCACAAAATCCCTCCAAAGTTTTGCTGGAATTGATGTGCGACTAGATCTAATAACAGAGATTATACATTTCATTGATGAGTCTTGAACAAGTTAAACTTGCCAAAAGACAAAGGTGACAAGACCTCAAAGGCCGACGCCGGGACCAGTACAAGAATAACAGAACAAACTAGTCAAAGGGATGCAGCCTTGAAACAACCACTCTCTCACAAAGAACCAGCCAAGACGAAGGAAGAAGAACTGCGCATTCACCTGGACTCATCTTCTCAAGAGATTCCCAATCTCTCTCCCTTCTAATATAAGTCAACCCACCAATCAACCACCACCGACGGAGCATCAACAAAGTAAAAACAAACCCAATTTCACAAAACAAGACCGTCAAAACTTTCACAAGCTTGACCAGCGAAATCAACCGAAACCACCGACCCACATGAGACAAAAAGCTTTCTTCTTCCTTACCCACCAACCCAAACACACATGGCCAACCACCCATTACAGAAACCCAAGCAGACCCACAAAAACCCACATGAAGTTACATGTCAACAAGCTGCAGCAAACAAAAACAATCTTCATTACAAGCAGGGAGACAGTTCGTTCATACCTGGAAGCTGGAAGGCAGAGAAAGCAGAAGCGAGAGCGTAAAAACTGGAGGAAATCAAGGGTATTTGGGGAAATCTGCTGGCAAAGAAAGGGGTCAGAAGGGAAGGTGGCGAGGGTTCTGAGAAAGGAGGAAGCGGTGAAGGAGGGGTGGTTGTTTATGCATCTACCACCTTTTGTCTTTCTTTGCTTTGTGTCCTGTGCGAAGAAGGTGGTGGAGGTGATGGGGGTGGTAATGGGATGGTATATTAAGAGGAGAGAAGAGAAAGGGTTGAAGAAAGGGATGTGAGGGACGAACGTATGTGTTGTGTATTTTAGCATGAATGAAATGCCAAAATCACCCCAAGAATCTTTTGGGATTCCATGGCTGCCCCACTTATCGGTGTTTCTATTGCTGCCTTATTTTAGCAAACAGATGAAATGGAATTTTCCATCTTCCCTCTCTTGGGCCTGAAAGATGGGGCAAAGGAAATCTGGGGTCCGAGATTCTGGGCTACATGTAATCTAAGGTTACCTTTATTGCTTCTAAACTCAGCATTGACCAAACAAGCATTGCAAGTTGCTGTGTCTTCAACACACGTGTCACATTTAAATATGTAGGAGTGGATGGAAAAGCTTCATCCCCACCGGTTGTGCATCACTTTCCCTGCCTTTCTAGACTTGTAGTTTCAGAGACACCATTGGGTCAATGCAAATTGGATGTAATTTTCATGACCAAGAAGAATATGATGAATGATGATGATGATGAGAGAAGTTCCAAGTTGGCAGCTTACATATACCAACCTCAACTAAATTTATTATGAAATTTATAATCTAGGTAGTTTGCTATAACTTATGGTTAACACCAGTTAGGTGTAAAATTATTTTCATGGTTGGAAAGTGCATAACATTCATATATGAGTAGCTAAATTTATATGTATAATAATGTGAGAAGTTAGTATATTTCTCCAATTTAAACTTTTTAAGTAATCAAATTTCTCTTTGTAGGGCTTTTTTTAGGTGGAGGACTATTTTTTTTTTTTTTTTGCTTTATGGGGCTACACAATAGGGGGTAGTTCATCCCCTTTCCCTTACCCTCCCCCTAACCCTAACCCCTGGTGGCAATGGGATTTGATCCTAAGTCTCTACTCCGACGAGTGAGAGAACTTAACAATTGAGCCACCATTAGTTGGCAGCTTAGGTTCCAAAATTGGGGATTAGAAGAGAGGAGTTGGGTGGAAATAGTATGAAATGATTTAAATGCATCCATTAGACAGAATAGAATGGCAAAAACAGGGTTCATGTAACTGATCCCTCATAGTTGATATAATGTTTAGTTGGCAATGATTTGATCGATTTTATCTGTTAATGAACTATTTCTTTTCTTCAGATATAACATGCAATTTCAATCAGTTCACAATTAATTTTTGTGCTTATGGTTGAAGTCATAAAATCACATTGATTTCTTTTTATTGATGTGGTATGGGCAATGGTTATGGTTTACTCTATTTGAACATAAGACACAAATGTACTCATTTAAATGCAAGGTTTTAAAAAAATGAATCATTCAAAGGTCCAGTTCCCGGGTCAAACGGTCTGATCGTTCGAATCGAACGAACGGCCCATTCTAACAAAAAATAAAAAACAACCAAAAATCATTAGATGGTTCAAATGGTTCGACCGCCTGGTAGTTTGCTGACCAATTCAACGGTTTTTGGCCAAAAGACAATTCTAGGGTAAAATGGAACCGATCAAATCCCGATTTTCTGGTCTTGGCCATTTGGTCCAGTCTGGTTTTGAAAACATTGTTTAAATGTTAATTTGTTCTGCAATCTTACATTTTTCATGCTTTAATTAAAAAAATTGCCTTAATTGCAAAAGCATGAAATTCATAAATAACCCAAAAAAAAAACTCTCCAGCTTAATATTTAACCATTTTCATTATCATCTAGCTCAACCTTACTTGCTTCACCATTATGTTCTGTTTAGTGTCATATCTATTATTAAATTATGAATGCTTAAATCATTTCTTACTATTTAAATTAAAAAAAAAAATAGTTTAGTGTCATGTCCCTTTTGATCTTCCTATGACCCTTTCACTTCATTCGACCTGTAACAGACTGCTTTTTCTTACGGGTATTTCTAGGTGGTCTTCTATGCATATGACCAACCTGTCTTGGTTTAATTTCTCTCATTTATACTCTTTAAGTTCCTTTGAACGATATATTTAATTATATGATTTATGTATTACTCAAAACATTATTTCTCTTTCAAATGATAAATTTGTTAATATAAACATCCTAATTTTTTGCCTCATAGAGATGACACTAGTTTAGGTAAAACCATTAAAAACTTCTTTAATCCTAATTTTTAATACAATTGGATAAGTTTCCAGATCATTTTTAAAGGCTGCAATGACCACAAATTAAGTCTATCCAATTTTTACAGTATCATGTAGTTTCATATTTGGTTGTTCAGACTTATAATTATAATCATTGTTTTTATTTGTAAACAGTAACAATAATACAATACATCCATGACCCAACGGCAAAATCTAATCTGGTTTATAGCTAAAACCCGAAATAAATTGTACCAATCTTCTTTGGAGTCATTACTGGTTTTTGAGTTGTTGCTTTCTTTTTCTGATATTGCTTAATAAAGGCAAGTAAAGGGTTCTGTTAAGTAAACATGTTTCAGATAATTGGAAGTTATCGTTCTTATTATCATAATTATCCAACTATTTATGTTAGTAATTAAGGCACTTATTAAGTGCAACCAAACAGGTCCTCACAAGGAAAATTATTGAATTGATAAAACATGATCTTGAGTTCTTAATGAAAATGAGACTTTTACTTCAGGTTTTTTAACTTCTACACCTTTAAGACCCATTTTGGAAAGCAGCTGAAGCATTGGTTGAGCTGCTTTCACTAAACTGTTTTAGAGAAGGCAGTATTTAAAAAAAAAAAAAGTTTCAAGGGAATATCATGTTTTCTAACTTTCAGACATCATTTTGAGCTTTTTTGAGTTTTTGCCAAACATGACTTTATAGGCTGTTCAGGTGGGGGCTGCCCTGCAAAACCACAAGCGGCTGTTTGAAAGCTTTCTCTAAGGAGCTCAGGGACATTTTAGGCATTTTAGGACTGACATGGACAAAACAGGGAAATGGAAGAATATAAAAACTTATAAAAGTTAAAAGAATTGTTTGGGCAATACAGGAGTAGTTTGAGGGTAGATTTGGCATCCGAAGGTTAAAATTATTAATAGGCTAGTTGGTGGGTGAGAGAGGGGGTGAGAGGAGGGATGAGGGAAATAGAGGCACCGACGAAGACGAGGAGGTGATTGGATGGGCGGCCTGCCATTTATGTGTGCGGATAACGTACTGCCAACCCCAATCCAAAACCCTTAACCCTTAACCAAATAAGAATTAAAATTTACTATTTAATTATTATTAATAAAATAATTTTTTTTTATGAATTAAAAAACGAAAAGAAAGGATGGGTCCTTCAACGAGACACAACCATTTGATGATTTAATATTTGAGATGAAAAACAAACGTATAATTTGGAGATTTTAGATTCTTTCCACCAAAAACATGAAAATTTTGATTCCTTAGGTTGGTGTCAAATGGAACCCATTATTGTCTAACACGTGGCAAACATGCAGTTAGATGGAACCCTCTTTAATGAATCTGGATTTACTCCTCACTGATTATGCCTCACGTTAACCTCACAGCGCTTTAAAGCTATGCATTTAGTGTTCGGATCTACTCTTCACGCAATGCATCTCACAGGCGCATCACATCTCTCAGATATTTTAAAATGGTGAGATGTGCATATAAGGTTAGTGTGAGATGGATTCTGTCAGGAGTAAATCGGATTTCTTCTTTAATTGGACGATGCAATAATCCCATCTATTTGGAATACTTGTACCGGCTTTTGATCTACTGCAAAACAAGAGGAATGACTAAGGTGTTAGTTCATGATTGGATTGTGCAGCCTGTTGAATAGTAAGAGGTGTAATGAGTGATGATGGTCCTGCGAGTATTGGGATCTGTTCCAACAAAAYACATTCCAATACATTTGACACCATTCCTCTGAGATGTGACATGCATGGTGAGATATGCCGTGTCAGATAATGTTGGAAGCGTTTTGGTACACATTTTGTGGGGAATAAATGGGGTGTCGTCCTCACTCTTCTGTGAGGCTGTAACTATTGAAGCAAACTGTCGTGTAGGTGAAGGGTACAAGTGATGCTGACTCAAATAGATGTTACAGATTAGACATATACAATGGGCTACGTGATCCAATCAGGAATGAATACATCAGTGGTCTTTATAATTGAGTTTACATCTCCGCCCCACAACGTCCCATAGCACATTCCCATCGTGTATTGGGAACATCTCCGGATGATAGTATCAGACTCAATACATGGCAGGGATGTGCTGTGGGATGTTGTGGGGCGGAGATGTTTATTTGTGTTACTTTTCAAAATCTTGATATATTTATTTGTGTTACTTTTTTTCTTGAATCAAAATACCCTTTATAGGTATTTTAGGTTTACTAAAACCTACTCTCTAATTTGTGTTTTATTAAAATGCTCCCTCTAGTTTGAAAACTCATTTTACCCCTTGAAACCTTGCAGATTAGATGGGCAAAACTACCCTCAATTATTCTTTCTAAAAGAATAAACTTTAACTATAATATTTGCTAGAATAGAAAGTTGAAATCAGGTTTAAAAAAACTAAATTAATTTTGAAATTATAAAACTATATTTTATTAATTATAACTTAAAATGTATTGATATTTTTGCTGATTTCAAAATAATGAAATACAAGGTTAAAAAAACTAAATTAATTTTGAAATTATAAAACTATATTTATTATTTATAAATAAAAAGGTATTGATATTTTTGCCGGTTTCAAAATAATGAAATGCATTCATTTTTCATAGGAAAAA